CATCGCCGTCGAGATCGCGCCACGGGCGACAGGTGACGGCTCTGTACGTCAACGCCGGGCGAACACATGGCACCATCCACTGGAGTAGTCGGTGGTCAGATATTGCAATATCGATGATGTCAATAAATAAAGTCATAACCTCACGCTTGAGAAGCACGTTACTCACCGTGCAGGTATCTGTGTTCAATATAAATAAAGTCATAACCTCACGCTTGAGAAGCACGTTACTCACCGTGCAGGTATCTGTGTTCAATATAAATAAAGTCATAACCTCATGGTTGAGAAGCACGTTACTCACAGTGCAAGTATCTGTGTTCAATATAAATAAAGTCATAACCTCAGGGTTGAGAAGCACGTTACTCACCGTGCAGGTATTTATGTCCCGGGACTGATGACTTGAGGCGGCTCAAGTCAGGCTCGTAACGCGTCTCAACTCGAACAAGAACTTCGTCGTTGGTTCCAGCATCAGCTTTGTTGCTGGGCGAGTTCTCCAGCACCTACAGATAATACGTGGCATTGCAATACACCAGAATTTTAAGTTACGTGAATGATAAGTATTGAATTAAGATGCAGAAAATTAATTTACGTTAATGATAAGTACTAAAACTAAGTATCGATGAAGCAAAATCTTCATACACGAGATAAGGAATAAAATCTTATAGCAGGGAATGACGAGAAAGAATAGCAATTGACTAGTCTTTCGTTAGCCACTTCATTGAGACAGATTTCTACTTAAACAACACGAAAAAAAGCTTTGGCGATCAACAAACCTCAAAAAACTTACTCCTACCATATATTTTCCTGAGCATAAAAAGTGGATTATGCCTAATTACCATCGCTAAGTGATTGGGGGCCACCGATCATCAATCTGTGCAGTTTTACATCAATCTGTGCAAAGTCGCATCAATCTGTGCAGTTTGCACCGATGTGAGGACGCGTGTAGAATAGAAAAAAAAAATGAAAAGGTTATTCCATTTTGAGTGAATTAATTTTCAATCTTGAATTATTCTCGCGAATCATCTCCAATACTGGCACGCTTTACCAGTTGCTTCACAAACATTTTGAACTTAGTGTTACAAATAAAAATTTAATGTGAGCAAAACGTGTTCAAGTTTTCAAGTTTTGCTGAGCCTCATTTTAAAATGAGCAAAATGCAATTAAAATGGCGGCGCATCAACCGTAGTGGAGTAGCCCAAACAAAAACACAACAACACACGCACTGTAGCGCATCAACCGTGGTGGAGTAGCCCAAACACAAACACAACAACACACGCACAGTGGTGCATCAACCGTGGTGGAGTAGCCCAAACACAAACACAACAACACACATACACACACGCACCGTGGCGCAACAACCGTGGTGGGGTTGTCCGAGCATGAAGACTTTGGTGCCAGCAGGGAAGAGCTGATCAAGACTGCAGGTCTTGGGGAGTGTTGGGTCGCAGACTGCGATGTCCCGTACCAGAGTCTGCGCGAGGTATGTCTGCGTGGCCGGCGACCACTCGTAGCTCAGGGACCACTTGCCGCACGAGGTCACCACGTAACTGATGGCAGGTAATGACCGTTATTAATGGCGGGTAATGACCGTCAGTAACTGATNGTATACACACCTCCTCCCTGAGCAGGGCAATGTGAGGCTCATGTGAGGCGAGGCCCAGCATGATGAGGCATGTGATGTATACACACCTCCTCCCTGAGCAGGGCAATGTGAGGTTCATGTGAGGCCAGGCCCAGCACTGTCTCTTATACACATCTAGATGTGTATAAGAGACAGCAGTAACCAAAGTGCAATTCACTTCCTATTATCTATTTTGATTTATTGCATAATATGGGCCGCTTAATGTCCAGTTAATGCATGCCACGTTACTCCTTCTGGTCTGGCCCAACACTTAAGATGTCTCTGACGCATTAGTTATACTAGGCTGTATTGCCGGCTTTTGAGCCTCCTAATAATGAATTGAATCCGATACAAATAGCGCTTACTTGTCTGTCCAATCTGATTCTTAAACCGTTAATTTACAGTATAACCTCCGGTATTCTCATCGCATCTCTTTTACCGTGTGTCCCATGCCTCAAGTGCAGCCAGCGCGACGTTATTTATGACGTTTGCGTTATTTCATTTGAGTTGGACTGGGAAATGCGTTCACTGTCAAGTTTTGTACCGCTAAATTGGAATTACTGAGCATAATTGGTATAATTATTTCTCAAGCTCTGGCATTCGTTTGGCAAGGTCTATTTTTCTAATTTCTCTCAACTGCTCCCATTAAAGTTGCGGTATTCTACTACGCTGGATCCTAAGTTTTATCCCTTGGAGTTTCAATAAAATTGGTAGTCTTTACGTTTGTGTTAATTCCTTATGCCATCGAGCTCAGCCAGCAATATTGGAATGGTTACTGAATTAGACGTTAGAAATGTTTCTATTTTTCTGTTTTCAGCAACTGCAAGCAATATTTTCAGACATCGGTAAAATTGTTTGCTGGACGAATGGTTTCTTCAACAAAAGAACTGTTCAGCTTAGAGCATATGTCTGCATGCATGAATTTATTGCTCAAGCAGAAGATAGCGTATGAACTATTGCTTACAAGGAGCTAATCTGTGAGCAACCTATTTGATTTGAATATTTCCCGTAACTATCGTATATTCCGTCAATTATTTGATCGTCTCTCCGGGAACTGAGAGTGCAGTTGTTAATGCCTGAGAAGAACTACATGTGAAACTCAATACTGCCAATGCAGCAGCCGACGATAGATGCAGAAAGATCCCCATTTGCTATGTAGTGTGAACAACTGAACGCTGCAATCAAGTTACTGCCGGAACTTGATTTTTTTTTAAATTAACATGTGCTTCTCCATTCTATAGTGTGGTATTTCTTCCAACAATGGACGCAGAATTTTGAGGCCCTTGCAGAACTGTTTGCTCGATAGAATTAAATGTGACGAAAGTTACATGACAAGATACGGCAAATAATTCAACGATTATTTTCACACAACGTTGTTCATTCGGCAGGATACATGAATGGAACAGAAGAAATTGGCTTGACATGCATTACCTCGAATCAGTTATATTGACGTATCGATTGGAATTTTTTATTTGCGATTATTGCCCCCATTTCGAACTACGCCATGTCAAAATAGTTACTAGTTGCAAACGTTACTAGTTGAAAACGTCTATGCATGGAAATTGAGCCTCTGGTAGACAGTGCTCTGATCTAAAATCCAAGCAAGTAGTAAAAGACTAAACATATAGCGTATACAGAGTCAAATGCCCTCTCCCTTTTCCCCATTATATGGGGGAAGGAAGGGGGCATTTTTAACGCACTTTTAAGATTCGGTCGTGTCGCTCCCAAAAGTATCAGGTGTCAAATATGCGCGCCCCGAACACGCCACACGGTTGTCAGGGAATAGACCGGATTCTAATCAGGTGCTTATTTACCTCGCTCAACCACAACCTAAAGCGGACATAGAGCCGTTAATTTACGCGCTAGGCGAGTTTGGGGCGCTCTTGTGTCAGTGGCTGACAGAAATAAAAAATTTGATTGGGTAATTAATGGCAGGTAAAACAGCAACCGTCAACGATCAGAGAAAAGCTACTATGAGAGTCATATTCAAGAATTGAAGCACGTTTGTAGTATCGATTTCATCATTGCGAAACTCATGGCGAGATGCCACAACAATTTTGTATTTCTCAAACAAAATAGCCTTCATCTACACATGATTGGCCGATAAATTTTGAACTTTTCCTCAACAATCCAAGACTTCCTTACTTCTGAGGCAGCAGCTCTGATAATTATATAATTATATGAAGCGATACCATAGCTTATCCGTTTAATCCACCGATTCAAAATGCATCCTAAGCATGTTACCCGTAGTACCGAATATTCAAAATATAATATATGGTTGAATTGAAGTTTAAAACGTTTCCGTCATCACTGAATTGCCAACTAAATATTTATTACGTTACTTTTGTTTGAAAATATACCTCTACCCTGCAATATGCAATCCATATGACCCACTGATAGAATGAAACGACCATTACACCCACTGATAATGACGATTAATCCCCCATGGCAAATCATGTTGAAACAATATCGATTACGGGCTTATTGTGTTGAAAAATCGATCGATCAACGTTATTTTAACGCATCAGTTTGCCTGGTGAGGAACTGATCAAATAGAGATCGCGGAAATTTCACTCTCTATTAGATCCATTTCATTCGGTCTATATTTCGGAACATCCCAAGCCCTGCCCATCTCACCGTCTGCCAGCGATGGGCTTGCAGTGCACTAGGAGGCTGGAGCGGCCAGCATCGATACCCCACTTGTAGAGAAGGTCAGAGCGAAGGGCATTAGCAGCTCTGAGGAATTCTCTTTGTTCTCGCGAAGTTCCGTAGAGCGGATTGTCGTTAAACACTTCGATTTTAATCATGGATGAGGCGCCGGGCAACAGGGAGACTCTGAACCTGCCGCAGCTCAAGCCAACCACCTTGTGTTTGACGTACAGGTAATTGTTAAGAAATGAATCTGAATCGTGTAAAACATAAAAACAGAGTTAATTGATGTCGATTGTTAAAATTTTTAAAATATTAAACTTTTATAAAGTATAACGAAATAATAAAAACTCCATCAACAATTAGCTCAGCAATTCATTTATAAACAAATTTGTTATCGTTTCTGAGGAAACAAATTGAGAAAATGAAAATTTTCTACTGGACCATTTGACAAAGGACTATTTGACAAAAACTACTAAGTCTAAGTCCAGAAAATATTCTTCGCAAAATGGTCCAGTCAACATTCAGAAAGTATCCTATCCAAATGGTCCAGTCAACATTCAGAAAGTATCCTATCCAAATGGTTAAGTCAACATTCAGAAAGTATCCTATCCAAATGGTCCAGTCAACATTCAGAAAGTATCCTATCCAAAATGGTCCAGTCTAGGTTCAGAGAATGTCATGCGCGACATTGTTCAGTTTATGCCCACAGAATATCGTTCACAAAATGTTCTGTCTACATAGAGAAAATATCATTCGTATAATGGTTCAGATAAGGCTCAAAAAATATCATCATGAAGATGGTCGAACGCACCAGAGCTTCTCTAAGATGCGGCCAGTCAACGTAGACGATTTTGTTTAGGAGTTCCTGAGCGATCTTCTTGAACCCTGCAGTGAACAAAAATGTGATCGCATGTGAAAATCCGTTATTATTAGTTAACACAAAAATCCAGTGAACTTGTTAAGAAACCAAACATTGCTACCAAAATATTCATTTAAACAAACACAAATTCCAATATCAAATAAAACTTACACTCGAACGAAGGGTGCGGGCAAAAGAAGGCATCTGGCACTTCAAGGATGATGGATTGCTGGAACGCTTGCGCGTAGACACGCCCAACACGATTCTGACAGGAAGACAAATTATTTTTAATCTTGAAAAGGTTCACCGAGGGTTCTAAATAAAGATATTCATATGAAAGCAGTAAAGCAGCTGGCGGAATTCGTTCAATAAACAGGTGCGCTCATAATTCAATAATTCGCTCATGGAAGGTGTGCTATGAATTCAAGACATTTTTAAACATGGAGATTTTTGTAGCTAGTGATATGTCATGATTTCAAGTTAGTGAAATTTGTTAGTTACCGAAGAAATAATTATATGAATCTAATGAATTGTATAAGGTAAAACGAATTTAAACTGGTGTAAAGTCAAAGAAAAGAACGGCTTAGATCTAAAACTCACTGTATGCGCCAGATTCTTGAGCGAAGGGAAGCCTGGGAAGTAAAGCTCAGTCTGCGCTCCAGGACACAAGCCCCTCAGGATATCCTCCCTAGGGATGCTCCACGCCTCTCCGTGAATCAAGTCGCACTTGGCATGGTTCATGCAAACCGGTTGGAAATGCTCGGGACTCTGTAACATAAAGAATTGAATACTTAAAGCACATAATAACGTGAGTCATGAACTGACCTAACATCCGAAGAGGTTGCCCAGCGTGGAGCTGTAGTGCTTGGAACCAGGGATAAAGGATAAAATAATATCAGGTTAAAATTATTTCAGGATAAACTAGAGCGAACTAACCTCGTATGCACCGAGGTCGTCCGGCGTGAAGTTGTAGACGTGCGTGGGACCATGAACAGAGCGTCGTCGCTCGTCTTCAGTGAGACGATGGCTCACTTTAGACATGGCCTCCAGCAGACGTTCCTCGTCAATGAAAGGCATGCGTGGCTCAGCTTCTCGGTCCTGAAGAGAATACACGAATTCGTTGGAGATATCTCACAGAGATTAATTTACCGTTTTCAATGAGAGCATAATTTGGGAAACTTCATATGAACAGTGTGTGAAAATGTTACGCATTTTCTGTTTAACTTTTAGTGAAGCTGTAGACGTGCATGGGACCATGAACAGAGCGTCGTCGCTCGTCTTCAGTGAGACGATGGCTCACTTTAGACATGGCCTCCAGCAGACGCTCCTCGTCAATGAGCGGAATGCGTGGCTCAGCTTCTGGGTCCTGAAGAGAATACCCGAATTCGTTGGAGATATCTCACAGAAATTAATTTACCGTTTTCAATGAGAGCATAATTTCGGAAACTTCATATGAACAGTGTGTGAAAATGTTACGCATTTTCTGTTTAACTTTTGTATTGGTAATTTTAAGTTAAAAATACGAACATGTTCACGCGGATAGAAGTCGATGATAGGCGAGTCTGGGCTGAGCATGAGGTCAGCGTAGCACTGAGGCAGCAGCTGGGCGCTCTGGGGCGGCAGGACGGCCATCAGCTGTTCAAACGGCATCATGGCGTGGCTTAGTTCGAACTCCATGGGGCAGTCAGAGAAATCTTTGATGTCTGAAATGTAAGGTGCGCAATGGAAGGGGTAATACCAAGACCATGACTGAATACCGTTGTAGTAGTAATGCAGGATCCATTGCAGTCCTCTTACGTAGCTGCCGGTCTGCTCCCGACTTATGACATCCAATGTGACATCAACCGCGTAGCCCATTTCACTGACGTAATATTTGCGCCTATGCTCAAGAAATTCTCCTGTAAGGTCGTGGTTTTCTTCGACGCCAGATATGAGATCACGGTCGCGAATATCAAGATTCCGGAGAGTCTCTTCAGCAGGCTGGACGATCTCATCGTCATCAAGAGCTGCCCAAGAGATACTACCACCAAGCTCACCTCCATCATAAGAATTGTCTTTCTTTTCATCGTTGAAATTTTTTTCCGCTTCTTTTACGTCATTGACATTGTTTTCATTTCCATTATCATCGTTGACAGTGTTTTCCTCTTCTTTGTCACCGTTGACATTGTTTTCCTCTTCATTATCACCGTTGTCATTGCTTTCCTCTTCATTATCATCGTTGACATTGCTTTCCTCTTCATTATCATCGTTGACATTGCTTTCCTCTTCATTATCACCGCTGACATTGCTTTCCTCTTTATTATTATTAAAATTGTTTTCCGCTTCATTGTTGACATTTTGGAGAGCGTCTGTGGTCTGGATAAGTGTGCTTTCATCATGACTTTCGATGTACTGTAGAGCGGTTTTCGAAAGGCGAAAATTCAAGTAATCAAACTCGGCCAGCTTAGCCATGAACTCCTGAAACCTCGGCAGGTTGAGGGTGCCTGCTTCATTGAGGTATCCGTCCAGCTCTGGCATGACGCTCTTGTAAGCGTCAAAGAGCTCTGGTAATGCATCGATCTGCATCGGGCGCAAGCAAGGGATGAAATCATTTCCCAACACGAATGACATGAAAACCCAGTCGTCGATAATTTTTTCCAAATCATATTTGAATGATAACTTGTCACTGATGTCTTGGAAGTCATGGTTGATATACTCTCGCAGGAGACTCAGATGCAGCCACAGGTACGTGGTTTCTTCAGTGGCTGTTGGGCGTTTGGCTAATCGGAAGTGACCTCGTAACTTCATCTGCACGTATATAATTCAATAAGCAGTAAAGCATCTGGAGCATGGAACGTCAATGCTTTTCACTCGTAGCAATATATTCCATTCAACCGATTGGCATCACAGAAAAAATCTTCGTATGGAATTACTTGTCGGGCGCTGACGTAACCTGATTAATTGAGCTGCGTAAGTGGATTATAATTCTACCATTTTCTGAGCTAACAGCAATAGCAGTTTATCGAATTGATTATGGTGGATGTAGCATTTGTATTGGCAACTTTCTGTAAAATTTTACTTGATCATGTCATGATATAAAAATCTTTTGTGAGGTAACTTAAACGAATCTCTAAGTTTTACAATTTGCTGTGAACTTAAATTAGTTTCAAAACTCTTATAAAATCCGAATCCATAGCATAAATAAATAATGCTGACTAAAATAATGTTCCATTGTAGTATAATGATTAGCGAAACGGAAGAATTTAAAAAAATAATTCCGATCAAATTTTTAAATGCCCGTACTATGTAAATCGAATTTCGTTCTGAGTATAAAAGATGTCGTAGGCAGACATCCAATTATGTAACGCATGTACAACGACTTTATCATAAGAATAGCGTTTAAAAGAGCATCGCGCATTGCGTGAACCTACACCTGAAGGCTATGAAAAAGCAATGGGGTCTCTGAACGATGGGTACGTGCATTGACGGTTAAGTACATGGACGTATACGTGTATCGACGGGTACCTGCATCGACAAATATGTACATTAACGAATGTGGAGTGGGTGCAAAAAGTATCCGACACTAAGGTAAAACTTTATTTAATTAAAGCTTATTTAAAAAAGTAATATAAACAAGCTCCATTCTAATTTAAATTTATATGGGAAATACAAATATCATATCAAAACAAATATCATTAAATGTTTACTTGATAATTGCAATTTTGCATAAGTCAAGGTTCAAAAGTATCCACCACATTGTAAACGCATTCACTCAATGCTTCGTCATATGACCATTATATAGCAGCCAAAACTGCTTCTAACCGATTGGAACACTTGTTCACAAGATTAACACATATGCTAATAGGAATTTTATCTCACTCTTCCTTGCATATTACTTTCAATCGGATAAGATTTTGTGGATCTCTCTTCTGTACCCTCAGTTTCAATTCCCTCCACAGATTTTCAATCGGATTGAGGGCAGGTGATTGGCTTAGTCATTCCTGTAAATCAATGTTCCTCTCCTGAAACTATGCAAGAGTTGCCCTAGCCGTGTGCCTAGGGTCATTGTCTTGTTGGAATATTCAACCTCGAGGAAGGTGCAATATTTCGGCTGACTTCACGAGACATCTCTCAAGAATGCCCCGATACATTTCAGACTTCAGCCTTCTTACTATGATTTCCAGTTCCCGGACGGTATTCTTCTGGTGAAACGCAGAGTCGATCCCGACAAAGAGAGGATCCCACTCAGTCACCAAGAAAAAACCCTCTCTTGAAGGAAATTCACATAAAGAACCGCCGGAACTTTGTTAAAGAACACATGAGTAAACATTCAAGCTTTTGAAATGGAATATTATGGTCAGATGAGACTAAAATTGAGTTGTTTTGTTGGAACTGTTTCAGTCGTGTTTGGAGACAGAACCCACTCTGCGTTTCACCCAAAGAACCCCCCTCTGAAACTCTGCGTTGCACCAGAAGAATACCGTCCCAACAGTAAAATTTGGAGGTGGCAACATAATGATGTTTCTCTTCTGTAGGCCCTGGGGAAGTGGAAAGCATAGAAGAAAGGATGAACTCCGAAATTTGACGGGGCATTTTTGAGAGATGTCTCGTGAAATCAGCCGAAAAATTGAACCTTCCTCGAGGTTGGATATTCCAGTAAGACAATGACACGGCTAGGGCAACTCTTGCAAAGTTTCAGGAGAGGGACATTGAGTTAATGGAATGGCCAAGATAATCACCTAACCTCAATCCGATTGAAAATCTGTGGCGAGAAATGAAACTGAGGGTACAGGAGAGATACAAGATATCTTATTCAATTGAAAGAAATATGCAAGGAAGAGTGGGCTAAAATTCCTATTAGTATATGTGTTGATTTTGTGAACAAGTATTCCAATTAATCGGTCAGAAGCAGTATTGGCTGCTAAAGGTATCCATCGCATAGATTTACCCTACATGATACATGATAACTATTACCCTAAATAACAAAAATATTGATGCCAAAATATTATGAATAAATAATGAATGAGCGGATTTATTTTGCGATAGAAACTCAATAAGTAACCCGGTTACAACATCTCTCGAGAATGCCCCGATTCCTTTCGGAGTTCAGCCTTCTTACTATGATTTCCAGTTCCCGGACGGTATTCTTCTGGCGAAACGCAGAGTCGATCCCGACAAAAAGAGGATCCCACTCTCAGTCACCAAGAAAAACCCCTCTTGAAGGAAATTCACATAAAGAACCGCCGGAACTTTGTTAAAGAACACATGAGTAAACATTCAAGCTTTTGAAATGGAATATTATGGTCAGATGAGACTAAAATTGAGTTGTTTGGTTGGAACTGTTTCAATCGTGTTTGGAGACAGAACCCACTCTGCGTTTCACCCAAAGAACCCCACTCTGAAACTCTGCGTTGCACCAGAAGAATACCGTTCCAACAGTAAAGTTTGGAGGTGGCAACATAATGATGTTTCTCTTCTGTAGGCCCTGGGGAAGTGGAAAGCATAGAAGAAAGAATGAACTCCGAAATTTGACGGGGCATTCTTGAGAGATGTTGCGTGAAATCAGCCGAAAAATTGAACCTTCCTCGAGGTTGGATATTCCAGTAAGACAATGACCCTAAGCACACGGCTAGGGCAACTCTTGCAAAGTTTCAGGAGAGGGACATTGAGTTAATGGAATGGCCAAGATAATCACCTGACCTCAATCCGATTGAAAATCTGTGGCGAGAAATGAAACTGAGGGTACAGGAAAGAGATCCAAGATATCTTATTCAATTGAAAGAAATATGCAAGGAAGAGTGGGCTAAAATTCCTATTAGTATATGTGTTGATTTTGTGAACAAGTATTCCAATTAATCGGTCAGAAGCAGTATTGGCTGCTAAAGGTATCCATCGCATAGTAAATTTATTTACTATGCGATGGATACTTTTTGAACCTTGCCTATTACAAAATTGCAATTATCAAGTCAACATTTAATGATATTGTAGCTTTGACATGATATTTATATTCCCCATGTAAATTGAGAATAGTATTTGTTTATGTTATTTTATTGAATAAGCTGTAATTAAATATAGCTTTTCCTTTGTGTCGGATACCATTTTCATGCACTGTACCTATATTTACATATGCGTGCGTTAACAAAAAATTGCATGGACGAATATATGCATTTGCAAAGCGTACATTGATAAATGCCGTATCTAATGATGAACCATACGTATTATTGATGTGTACTGTTATAACGTCATATAAAGGTTCAGAAAGGGTCACTTATGACGAAATTATATGAACCCGTATTATATTCAGCCATTACTCATCGTATTATATTCAGCCATTACTGAAGCCATTGCTACAATGTGTAACCGACGCATAACCGTACAATTGATGACGTACAATCGAGTAAAATCTATTTTACATTTGACGTCTAATGAGCGATTAATCTTGCATATTAATTCTCTATTATCATCTTGGTTTGAGACTTGATTAGCATGTCATTTCATCACGATAGTTGATAGTTGATACACATATAATGAGTAATTGCTGTCCTTCAACCTATAACATTCAATACGAGATAAATTGAGCTAAAATATTTTACTGTATTTAATAATTTAGAGATTGAGAGATATGAGTATCTAAAATTCACCTAAATGCCCTATATACTCTTGTGTCTATTTACTAATGCATTACCAGCAGACCTAGTAAGCTTTGAGTCCACTGTGTCGCTGAGAGCTTGCCTCAGACGCTGAGGCAACAGCTTATGTCTTGGTCAAAAAATCGATAAGTTTGGCTCTACCGTTTTCTTGGTTCATTTTGTAGCAGCTGAAAAGACGAGTCTAACGCAGTAAACAACATGTATGTGCGTGCTCTAGTTTTTGCGTAGAGCAATTTCAAAAATATTTGAAACGAACATTTTTTAACAATATGTACAAAGATTTCTTTATATTAAATTTGTATTTATAGAACATTATCCTAGTTAATTACGAAGGTTTTGCACTCGTTTGAAAGCTAAAATCATGACGCGTTCAGCAAAGCTAATACCATGGATGTACATGCAATAATTTTTGCATAAGACTGTTTCGAACTTTTATAAAATGACCATCTCATAACAATATTTACAAATGTTTGTAAAAAATAGTATTTGTAGATCATTATTCGCGTTAATTGCAACGTGTTTGCACTCGCTTGAAAGCTACAAACGATGCGCGTTCAAGAATGCAAATACCACAGATGTGCATGCAATGTTTTTTGCGTTAGGCCCATTAGAACTTATATAATGAACATTTTATGTTTATAAATAAAAATTGGCAAAGGGGAAGCTTAGGATGCAATGTTAATCAATTTTTTGGCAAAATTTTTTCAATAACTTTTACTTATTGAGCAATTAAAACCCCTGAGCAATTGAAATTTTCAAATACGCCATTTAAAAATGTTGTTAATGTTAAAAAATGTTAAATGTAATAAAAAAATTAAAAATCTCCTAAGATTTTCAATCTACAGCTTTAAGAGATATACCATTCTATTTGCAAAATCAAAATCAAGATCTAGCGATCCACTAATCGATTTATTATTTCGTTATAGATTGGACTATATTTTACAAAAAAGGGGGGAGGGTGGGGGTGGCGAAAATCGAGCAGCACCCGAAACCCCCCCAAATCGAATGATTTGTCTCTCGATGTTGTAGCACGTTCATCGTAGGAGGAGATAGTTTTCTATAGTGCCCCTTTTTTGCCGTTTTCTATGAATTTCACGTTTTCTTTTATTTTTTTTCGAAAAAATTTACACGAATAAAACGGCCTTCGATTTCTATTTTACATATGTGTACCAAGTTTCAAAATGATCCGTCGATAGATAAAAAAGTTTTGTTTTGACCGAGACGCTCCTCCTTTACAGCAAATGTGTTACGAGGAAAGGAACCCGATGAACGGAGGTACGAAGTCTATAAAGGGGCTGGAAACCTTTGTTAAGTCCCCAGAAGCTGACAAATACCCACGCCGCAATGTAGCTAGCGTTGGAGTTACTCCGACCTAAGGGTACGTACACAGTGGAAGCAGGTTTGCCCGCGCGGGCAACCTGCTCCAACCTGCCACAAGAATGAACATAGGATAATAATGTAAGTGTTCACAGTGGAAACCTGTACGAATAGGCTTCTGCCGACAACCTGCTTATACCTATTTACCGGAATGTACTGCACATTCTTATCTGCTCAACCTGCTTGGCATATGGTCATTTTTGAATTAGTTGTACCTTTAAACCCTCCACTTTCTTTGTTTGCACTCAATTGGAGGGATTTTTGAGAGGTAATAACACATGATGAGCATCGGCAGTGATCAGTTCATCACAGAGGTGTATGCTCGAACACCAATTTGGGACAAATGGAGTAAAGAGCACTCTAACCGAATTGTAGTTGAGAAACTTTGGGCTGACATTGCCAAGAAGATGAACTGTGAAGGTAAGGTAGTATTGGTTTAATTTTACTTTGACTGCATATAAATAAGACCTGGTTTCTTCCTCTTGCGAATGGTTTCTTCCTCCCTAATGAAAAAGACCTGGTTTCTTCCAGCTGGTTTCCTGCTTCCTCTGTGAACACCCTCACGCGCTTGTTTCAGGCGCCAGCCTCAGCAGGTAACCAGGGGCCATACTTTCAAAACTCGCTAAGTGAACGTAAATACTTACGCTCTGTTTTCTTGTCTATGATTGGTGGATTTTGCTTGAAAGGCCGTCAATGATTGGCTGATGAACTTACGACCTCTTAACTTTTTTGAAAGTTTAGGCCCAGCACGCTGGCAACCTGCTTTCACTGTGTGCGTACTCTAACGGTCGACGTCTCAGCGTTACCTAGTATAGTATCTTCGGCATTGAAGAATAGGCCTGGATAGGCCTGCTGCCGATTCTTGTACTTTTCTTGACCTGTCTCGTATCCCTCACATATAACCACCCTGTATCAAGATAAGTTCTCTAGATAGATGGTGTCTTACTTATCCCTGACGAACTTAGTCAGGAGACGCGTAAACGTGCATCTGGGACATACGTATGTGATGTATACACTCCTCTCTGGGCAAGGCGATGTGAGGCTCATGTGAGGCGAGGCCCAGCATAATGAGGCATGTGATCCGTACACACTTACCTGAGCAGGGTAAAGGGAGGCGAGGCCCAGCATGATGAGGCATGTGCTGTATACACACTTCCTCCCTGAGCAGAGCAATGCGAGGCTCATGTGAGGCGAGGCCCAGCATGATGAGGCATGTGATGTATACACACTTCCTCCCTGAGCAGAGCAATGCGAGGCTCATGTGAGGCAAGGCCCAGCATGACGAGGCATGTGATGTTTACACACCTCCTCCCTGAACAGGCCAATGTGAGGTTCATGTGAGGCCAGGCCCAGCATGATGAGGCATGTGATGTATACACACCTCCTCCCTGAGCAGGGCAATGTGAGGCTCATGTGAGGCCAGGCCCAGCATGATGAGGCATGTGATGTATACACACCTCCTCCCTGAGCAGGGCAATGTGAGGCTCATGTGAGGCGAGGCCCAGCATGATGAGGTCAGCATCGAGGCCGTAGAGGCAGTGGCGCGTATGAGGATCGTAGCCTGGCTGGCTGCGGTGATACCTGATGTAGTCCATGATTTTGTGCTCGCCTTCTCCTGGAGCCTGAGCAAAGAACAGATTCAATGACAGAAATTTAATCTAAAAACGACGCAAAGTTTCAAATAACAAATGCAAACGGTGGTGGCGACAACAATAACATTTTAGGGTTAGCATTAACACTAAGATTAAAGCTTGAAATAGAGTTCTTCTAAATAATTGATTTATACCTTAACACTTCAGAAGTGTATTTTCTTTTAATTAGGTGCGAGGAGCATTCACATGCATAAGATTTCAAGTTCTATTAAGCAGATATTTGAGAATGGTTGGCTTCAAACCTGATGCCCAGAATAGATGACAGTACACGACTGCCATGAAGGATCATTGGAGATTTTTGAGGTGATAAAATTCTGAAATTTTTGGTCCAGGCGATCCATGAACTCTGTGCCGGGAGTGATGCAGTTCGGATCAAAGGGCTCTCCTGGGGGCAAAATTTTGCCCTTTTCTGTGGCTGCAGTTTTTGATTTCTCATCACCTTGGCAGCGGGAAAACCTGCAGCAATCATACACAAAATTGGAGTATATATAATTAATTTGTTTTATTTGAGACTTGAGAGAAGAGAGAGTCCTAAATCTTTATTTAAGAATATTAGGAAAGGAAAATTTATGACCTGAAACGAAGTCTGGGCAGATCATTGAATATTTGACAAGACTATTTTTCTCCAAACATAAAGACAAGTCTGTCGGTGTTAAAGTGAATAAACAAATAAATGGACTACCGAGAAGCACCAATAATAACTTGTTCCTTCCAATAGTTTAAATGCAATTGCACACCAAATCACTCAATGTGCAAAGTTGGCATACCTTCCACTTCTCATTTGTTCCATTTTGGCTCTAGGAGCAACACCGTCAATAGCCAGGAAAAACACTTTCTCGGGGCGTATCATGCAGAACAGAGACTGTAAACAATGACAATGTTAAAAATAATAAACATGTATAAAAAATGCAACATTAGGTGATGGTTTTCATGGGAACATTAATTGTGTAATCATCGTTATCTTTGTTCGTACCTCAATGTAATGGAGTATATCTTCAAATATCTGGTCTTCAGTGATCCTGAAGCAAGGATCAGCCTCATCTGGATGAGAGCACGAGTGGATGATGCCATTCATGTCCAAGTAGAGATTATCAAACTCAGGAACCTGTAAGTAAGAAATCCATTTGTAGAATGCTTCATATCAACATACCAGAACTTAAAAATTTTATATAAAACGTATTTAATTTAGGTACAAGAATAATGCAACAAAGAGACATACAATACATGGACATTGTAAATATTTGTGCATATTACCTTTTGCAAATAAAAAATAGAAGCAATAAAGTAATCAGAGTTTTTATATCAAATTATTAAAAAATGACAATTTTCTACTGCCATAATTCAGTATATTATAGTTTGCTTCAGAGTTTAGCTTTTGATCATAACAACCACAATACCTGATCATGTCTGACATCTTCAACGATTGTAGGATACCTCTTGCTAATCCATCTGTAAAACTTGGGGACACCCATTGCAGCTAAATTATAAACAACCTGCCCGTTGAACAAATGATAGAAAATTAAAATTTTTTATGAAAGCATTGAAGATCGTTGAAAGCCTGGTTAGTAGTTTCACTAAACTTAGACAGACATAGAGCAAGTCTATAGTTAATGTAAATGAACATAGTATTTTGAGATTTCGGACCGACCAACGGACCATTCCACAGCACACCAGCACCAGTCCTCGGAAGACACAACCTTGTACTAAGTAAACAAAAGACAGCGTCGGCCATCAACAATAGTTCATCCAATAAGATATGTAAATTTTTTCAAAATAAAAGTACCAACGTATTGAAGTCAGGTTTTAGGTCAATAAATGTCTAATATATATTTAAAATGAATGTTTCCGCGTAGATTTCAACGCTGGTAACATTAAGAAACTTTAAAGTATCTCTCTTATCATATATACTTGTTTCATGAATTACAATTTGCCTATCTACGTTACTAAAAATCACTTTCAAAGCCGATCGGTCCACCAGGTCCGATCAAATTATGGTTTACGAAAGTCGCTTGACATTTATTGCTAATGTAAAGTATTATACATATATGTGTTTATGCTATTAATTTATCATAAAAGTTGTATCTCCATATTTCCATGCTTTGTTACAAGTGCCGTTCATCACCTGAAATGAGAATTTTCAAGTAAAACGTGAAAACTCGTATCACGCGAATACCCCCATTACTAGTATGTAAAGAGTATCTGTGAAAAAGTTTTAAGAGAAAATTAATATAGAAATAATTTATTGCGCAACAAGTTTATTTATTGATTTTCAGCAATAACAAGTATTACTTATTCAATTCACAAAATGAGCGAGGAAAAATTTATAAATTTTGCAAGCTGGTTTCGGTTAACGTCGATGACGCTACAGCGGCCTGTGATCGTTGCGGGGATATCATCTGCAATTAACAGTTGTGCAAAGTTGAGCAAAGCAATTTGCTAAGTTATTCGCAGAAACGAAACAGTACACTAGTATTGCCAGGACTGCCAACAACCTGCGCTTAGCACTGTAAATAGCGAAAATATGGTGGAAGGGAAATGCTCTTCTATGTTCTAAGTCTTTAACTGAAATGGAATAAACTCACAAGAAAGAGTTGAGAAAGAGAGCTGAAATGGAGGACAACCACAAGAAAGAGTTGAGCTTGTTGCGTAGCAAATTACACTCGTTACGAAACGAGCTGGTGGAAATAAAAGGTAATCAACACAAAACAGAAAAAAAACAATAACACCGAAGGTACTGGCACAAAGAGGTCATCTCTGATCTTGCCAGCGAGAGCACTCGTGAGATGCCGGACAGAGAGAAAAGACTTAACTTTGTTTGGTTTGGCGTTCCCGAAAGTAATGCTTCGGACGATGCGTTTATTGATGATTGTAGTGCCCAGGCACTTAACGTCGTTGTGAATATAACGTCATGCAAGAGGCTGCGATCGAAAAACGCTACCACCTGTAGACTGCCGCTGGTGACTAAATAAATCCCCAGAATTTAATTCTTTGTTAAGAAGGATGCTATCCCTTTAGAGAGAGCGGATTTTCGCAAGAAATGGCAGGATATAATCAGGCGGTAAAGCACGAAAACTCAGGTCAATCACTCTCACGATTCCAAGACAACACCGGCCGCACACGGTCAGTTAGCGGAGCTAGAAGACAAGTAAGAAGTCATGTCCATAGTTCCAGGACTGTAAATAATGTAAGCAGTAACAGCATACATCAGAGTGAAAGTGCAGAAAAAGTTTATAAATGTTTTTACCCGAACTCGGATTCCGTTTTGAACAAAAAAGTGAACTGTTAACTGTGATCGCAAACGAGTGCATAGACATTTTTTGTGTTACAGAAACACTCTCTAAAAATCACGTGTGGAAAATTGTACCTGTTGAAGCTCAGTTGCCAGGTTTTGACCGTTTTCATAACTTGAATGAAGAGCAGTGCAGTAGAGGTGTAGCTCTGTGGGTAAGAACCTCCTACGGCCTGTTATGGGGCCCAGCAAGTTAAGTTATCTGCAGAGCATCAATCAGCTAGAGAATCAGTGTGGTGCGAACTTTCTCTCAAAGGCAAAGATGGCCTCCTCATAGGCGTCGTGCATAGATCACCAAATAGTTCATCTGACAACGATAAATAACTCATTTGACAACGATAACAGTCATTTACCGAGCATGACTTTCCGTAAGTCACACACGTTGATCGTTGGTAATTTTAATTATCCAGAACTAGACTGGACAGAAGGACCCTATCCAAAGGATGGGAATCACCCAGCATCCTTGTTTATGAAGTCTGAGAGAGACTCCTTCCTAGCCCATCACCTACCAAGCCAACGCATTATAGGAGTAAACAAACTCCCAATATTCTGGACCAGGTGTTTACATGTGATGAATCAATGTTAAATGAGCTTCGTCACGAGGCTCCATTTGGCAAAAGCCATCACCAATAATTGTTTTTCAGTTTTAAGTGCTGTACAGAAAAGACGTTTTAATTTTGCAAAAGGCGACTATGATAATCTCCGTGAAGCAGTGAATGCAGTGAATATTTTGAACTGTACTTAGGACATGAATGTGGCTGAGTCATGGTCACTTCTCAAGTACACGGTTATGTCTGCAGTTGATGCGAGTATACCTAAAATTAGGCTCGGTGGAGCCAAAAAACTAAGTCGATGAACAGTAAATTTCTAGCCAAGATGAAAACCAAGAAGGAAGCATACTAGCGTTATTTACAGACTCGTAGCAATGCCGATTATAACCTATACGTAAGAGTTCGAAATCAAGCTAAAGGAAGCTATCGCACCGCAGTAAAATATTAGAAAAAAAATATTGCCATAAATGAAAAAAGAACCCGCAGGACTTCTTTTTGTACGCTAGCTCGAAGTGCAAGACAAAAGAGGGTATTTCTGATTTGAAAGTAGATCAACGAAAGATATCCTCTGATGAAGGCAAGGCTAACGTTCTAAATCAGTTTTTTGGTAGCGTATTCACTGAAGAGGACTTGAACAGTATTCCAGCTATATTAGAGCCCAGTCGGCTCAAAATTAACAAGTTTTGAAATACAAGAAGAAGAGGTTCTCAAGTGCCCGATCGCTCTAAATTCCAACAAGTCATGTGGACAGGACGGCTTCCACCCTAGATTACTCAAAGATTTAGCACCGTCCTAGTCGGCCTTTTCACGTCATTTTTTTGAAAAACTTTGAGCGAAGGGATCTTGCCGGCTGACTGGAAAGAGGCTCAAGTGACACCCGTATTCATAAAAGGTGACAAAAGCAAAAGCTGCCCGGGCAAAAGCTGCCCGTTTACAAGGTAATGGGATCTGCTGTGAGGGAACGATTGATCGATCACTTGACTGTTAATAATCTCCTATCAGACTGTCAACATGGCATTATTGCCGGTAAATCCTTTACTACTATATAACCTCTTGCCTACTCTGGATGAATGGGCCCGCCTGCTGTATGAAAGGAAGCCAGTAGACGCAGTGTACCTCGATTTTGCCAAAGCATTTGACAGTGTCCCTCATAAGCGGCTGTTGCGTAAATTGAAGTCTATGGGAATTGAGAGTAATGTACTCAAATGAATCAGAGATTTTCTATTAGGGAGACGACAACG